CCCCAAAACCCCAAAACCCCATCTAATATCATAGTGCATTTAAAGTGCAAAAATATTAATCGAAAAATATAATAAAATTGTGATTTCCAAATATCAGTTATCTATTTAAAATCATAGTTCATCGCTTTTTATATTTTCTTCTTTTTATTTGATTCAGCTGTTCAATACTATCCAGAACATCTTCTACAAAATCAGATTATTGTACCTATTCTTAAGAATCTATGACTGTGTTAAAATATGTAGTAGAAAGAACATTACTGCTGCTGTCTTGATTCCATAAGTTTTAATTTGATAAAAACTTTTGTTATTTATTCTCAGAAATGTTTGGTAAGTAGGTTTAGGTTTATGAAATATATTAACTAGGATTAAAAATAGTCTTCGGTTTATCTGATTTTATGATTTTAAGATCTGGAAAATCTTCTAAAATTTGACTAGCAAGATTAAGTCTAGATAACTTAATTTCATTTAGATCACTTTCTTAATCATCATAAAGGATTAAGTCTTTTCTTGCTTAAGAATTTTAAATATCATTCAATTTAATTTTAATTTATTTTTTCATGTCATCATCAGTTTGATTTTCATTTTCTTATTGTTTTATTTATTTCAATTGGTTTCTTGAATTTTTAATTTGAATTTCTTCAGTTAATTAATCTATCAGCTAGATTTTGACAACTTTTCTTTAAAAATTATCAAAGTTTTAAGTTTAATTGGTTTCAGATTGAGTCAAAAGTTCTTTTTGCATTAATGATTACCTCTTTCTTTATTTAGTTTGCTAGTAGAGTTTAATCAAGCTTTATACTAATCAATAATAGAATATAGCGATATTAATAGCTACTGTTATCAATATAATATTTACTAGCACAGTACCACCTTTTACTTTGATATTAATATTTGGAATATAAAAAGCAAAGCAAAAGCAGAGGTATAGTTATACTAAATAAACGAGTTCATTATACATTTCAATCTTGTTTTAAAATTATTCTTCAAATGGCTACTTAATCATAATTACACCTACAATGAGCAATGATAAGACTATTTATATGAATATCTAAAGAGTAAAATCTAGATGAGTTAGAGAAAAAGCTATGATTATTCTTCTGATAAAAAATAGAGAATAGTATACTCCACTTTTTTAATCATATTTCAAGCTATTTGAGATCCTTACTACATATTCATCAACTTTATTCAAAAGTTTATAACGCTCAAATATACTTCGAAATCTAAGTCTTAAATAATCTTTGAAAATCAGATAGGTTACTAAGATTGGAATAAATACTAGTACAATCATAGCTAAAATGCATAAAGCCAAATTAAAATTTTGAAAATTACCCCTTTTTTCACTACTTTACTTTATTACATAAAAGCTTATAATACAAGCAATCAAATAACCTTCAATTAACAGTCTCGTAAACCAAAAATAGTAAAGTTATTTTGAGTATTGCCTATATATCTTAATAAACTTCATTTAATCCATTTTGTTAGTACTTATACTCTTTATTTTAAAGATTTACTTCAGAATAGCTTGGAAAATCTTGTCTAAAATAATAAGTGTTATTCCGATTCCATTAGCAATTAGTATGTACTACAGATTAGCTAATAATAAGCTACTAGAGTATCCAAGCAATAAAAATTTATCTTCTAAAGTATCTTCTGAATTTTACAGCATTCTTCCTTATTATTTAATATCAAACTATTCTACTTCTATTTGGTTAAGACTCATCAGGTTGAAAAAGTTTAAATCCTTTATTTTTTGAAGAAAATATAATGAGTTTGAGGGTATTTTAATATCAAGCAACCCAAGATTATAGACTTGCTATAGATAATGGACTAAAGGCCAAATATTGCTTCCAAATGAGCTACATCAATAAATTTAAACTTTAATATTTTTACACAAATGGAGAAGTTATCAAGCCAATATAAATGGTTGCTATTACTATTTTAGAAACTACTTCACCCTTTATTTCAAGTATTTTAGCTTCATTTTATATTAAATTTATTAGTAATTACCATCATTAACTTAAGGGGGGAGTTTAATTGTAATGTAAGTAGCACCTCCATAATCATGCATATCTACTAACTAATCATTTTTTGAATCTTTATAATAAATCTTAAAAAGTATGTAGTCACTCTCCTATTAGGGTATTATAAATTAATGATTAAATTTTACATCTTTATCAGTAGAGATTGTTTCAGGATTTTCAAAGTTTAGGTTAATGCTGATTATTTTACTTTCATACTAATATATTGTGAGATTTTCGATTAAGATTATTGATTAACTATTCTCGTTAAATATTAAATATTAATCTTATATTAGCCATGCTTTAATTTCAATTTCTTTGAAAGTCTTTGTAGTTTAATTGAAATTTAAATCTTAATTTTCTATGATTTAAACCTCTCCTATCTAGTTTATGTTTAAGAGGAATGCTTTAAACTAATTTGAATATTATTTTATAGTTTCTGAAGGATTATAAATTTGCTTTAAATTCGACTGACTTATTTTGATGTTCACTTTATATTGGTTGGACTTTGGAGGAAATCCATCATCCATTAGAATTATCTATATCTTATGGTTTCCAATATCACTGTTTGTTGTATTCACAACTATTGTATCCTTTATTAAGTATAGAGATTAGTTAGATAGATCATGGAAAAGTGAGATAGTTACTTTATTTTTTTCTAAATCATATATTTTTGGAAGTTTAATGTATTAGGTCTGATCAACTATAGCTTTAATATCATAAGGATTATACTTGAAAGTTGGCATATTATTACTCTTAGAATTATTGGTTGATGAAATAACATTGCTAGAATTCGGCTGAATCTTTATACCAATCTTGAATGTATCATTGATGATAACATCAGAGTCTACATTAGTTTAAGCTTTTATGACAACTATATAATCTTTACTATGATATTCTTTATTAGTTGAATCTACTGACAAGTTTTAGGTTTGAGGATTAAAGCTGAAAATTTAGGGCAAAGTTTAATTATGATTTAATACAGCTGTTAATGTTAAATTTTAAATTTTGCAGTTGCTGATGAATTTTAATGAGCTTAGATCAATGTATTCTATTTTTTAGCCTGATAAAATAAACTCAAATGGCCCATTGTATATAAATGATAGAGTTTAAGGCAGGCACTTTATGTCCAAGTAAAAGCTATAGTTTGTGTAGTAACTCATAGACTAAAATAAGCTAATGTATTATATCAATATCTGATATTGGCCTGTTTAGTTTGTATCCATTTCAAATATTGTTAATTTGTTATCTTGAGATTTAGAAATAGTTGATTGCTTTGGAAGTTCTGGGATAATAGTAATATTTATTGAGTTTGGATAAGGACAATTTTAATTGGCTGTGAACATATTTAAATCTATTAAGAGTTCTTCCTCCCCAATATTGTAGGTTAGATTTTAGTTGATACCAGGGTCTAAATAGACTTTACAGTCAATGAACTATAATGAGAGAATGAATGAATTAGTTTATCCTGAAGGATATGTGCATTCTATATTGTAATTAGAAGAGTTTATAGTAAATTATGAATTAGGTAAGCTAAGCAAATCCTTGCCATCAAAATTAAGTTGTATTTAATTTTAGTTTTGAGGATTCACAGAAATCTTTCTTGATTTATCTAGACAAACTTCATCTCCTGAGAAATATGTCGATACATTTTTGCTAAAATTTTATAGTTAAATTGGCTAAAATTCTACTATTGTTGTCTGATTGCTCAGAGTCCATAAACTTGGTATTTAATTGCATAATTTATTATAGTTAGTGCTGTACTTTGATATATCAATTTTAATGCCTTATATATCCATTACAACTAAAAGTATGATTTGGATATCACTTGAAACAGTAGCAGGTAATGGTAAGTATGTGTATTTTGTTGAATGTTCAATAAGTTAAGTTTAATTGCTTGATACAGGATCGACGTTAAAAGGGCTGCATGATTATGAAGTATCTGATATTTAAATGATAGAAGTGTATGTTGTCCGTGAATTCAATGTCTAAAAAGTGTATCCTCCAAACACTAATTCTAAGTCTTTCAAGAACAAACCATCATTCATAATCGAAACATTTTTAAAAGTGAGTACTTTTACTAAAGCTAAAATGATTTTAAAGAAGAAAATTATTTACCTCGACTTGATGTTTCATCAATATCAAACATTTTTAATATTAATCCAATTTCAAATTCTGGTACTTTTATTAGGAATGAGTAAAAACTTGTTTCTGAAATGATTTTAAGGTCTCAACATTAGTGTGAATCTGCTAATTCAAAAAATGATTGCTAAGCTAAAGTGTTATTAAGATAAACAACTAAGCGGGATATTTATGATCCAAAATCACTTCTAGTTACAGAATAAATCCCATTTATGCCGAATATGAAATCTTATTCATTTGAAGTAATGGAAGCCATTGCTTGGTATATATTTAGTAAATAAGATCTAGTAATATTAAATGTGAATGAGTATTTGAAACTTCCATCTATAGAGGAAAGCTTAATAATAGAAATGTAATTTCCCAGAGTTCCAGTATTATTCTAAATTGTACTTGTCGAATAGAAATTACTAGAAGTTTAAGTATCCAAATATGAAGAAGTTATATACACTACCATAGATGTAATGGTTGTTAGCCTAAATTCTTTTTTCCACATTAAAGACACTTGATTTAGATTATTGAAATCATATTTAACCAATACAGGATAATTATTTACTGAGATACCCATGTAGATCATTCCTAAAGAGTCGAAAATTACTGAATTTTTTTCATCTAGGATGTAATAAACATTACCTGCATCAGTGTTATCTTTGAATACTGCCATTATTTCCCCATTAGTTGTATTTATCATAATGATATGCATGACCCCGTAACTTGGATCTCCATCAAACTCAGCAACAAGCATTGCTTTTTAGGATGAATTACTGGATTATTGAAATTTAATAGATATTGGTACTTTGTGTGAAGGTTTATTGAGAACACGAACCCAATCATTTTTTCCATCAGCACTAGCATATTAGTAATAAATGTGTTATTTAGCTGTGGGTAAAGGAAGGCCTAGCGAACTCATATTAGTCATTCCAAGGATAATGATATTTTGACTGCCATCTAAATCCATATTTATTAGAAACGAGTTCCCAGTAGAATCATTAAAGCTTCTAGGGTATTTCCAGTCAAAGCATTTTTATAGGCAATGAATTTAATCAAAGAGCAGGAAAAAGTTTATTGCAACTATCATTAAAATTCGAACTTGCATCATTAATAGGATAATATATTATTATGTAATTTGAAAGAAGTTGAAAAATTATTAGTTCGTAATATTAGTTTTTATTTTCATTTAAAGAGATGTTCCAATTTTTTAATACAAGTCTATGATTGGGGGTTTTGGGGTTTTGGGGTTTTGGGG